AAATGAACTTCCATGGTCAGTGCATGAAGGTAAAAACTTCTTTATTAATACAGAAATACCTTTTGTAAAACATTGATGAAGTGTACATCATTAAACTCTCACAACTCTTTCTGTGCATCAAAACTATGTATTCTGGTGCCATATAGACATGCTGGATAGGAACAAGTAGTGAAGTTTAATCCAATTTCCATTTTTTTCTGAGAAGCTACATATATATACAATATATAAATCACAGATTTGACAAGTGCAAATATATTCTGATTTGTCTACAGGTTCTACTACACCAAATCAGTACCAGTTTGGAGAGTGCGGTTTTCGTAGGGAGCCTTCAGTGCAGATCGAGAGATATCTGCAGGCTGTGATTGGAGGATATTCTGTAAGGTTTTTATGTCTTTCAAATGTACATCCATCCAGTTATTAAAACTGACCATGTTTTTCTATATTTAGTACTGTCTTTTTCAACATGATGACTTATGCTGAATGTGACCACAGCTATTTTCAAGTAGGTGACATTTGGTGCGAAACTGGGGGTGGTGTGTTTAGCTTCCGGTACTCGGAAAAGGAGCTGGCTAAGCTAGTCATTTTTATTTTTTTTATTGCTGCTCTAAGGCCAAACTGTGCACACACGTACAGGTAATAGCTGTTGAATGCTTAGTTATTTTAAAAAAAATCATAACGTTACTATAGACGTCTATGGTAAAACATTTGGTTGTGTGTAACCTAATGGCAGGGGTCGTTGCTCACAATAGCAATCACTGGATCATCTGGCCCAGACTCGATTATTTACAGACCGCCTACATATAGCTAGAACATTGCCGAGTGCGGCATTAAACCACAAACAAGGCTCTCACAGGGTAAATCACACCATTTATACCCCTAGGGATCGTGGTACATAGGCTCACACAGGGTACATCACACCATTTATACCCCTAGGGATCGTGGTACATAGCCTCACACACAGGGTACATCACACCATTTATACCCCTTTGGATCACGGTCAAAAGGCTCACACACGGTACATCACAAAATTTATACGTTAGTTTTGGGATACTTGGAACGAACTCTGGAAATCACTGTGGAGGACTTTCACAGGTTATACATCGATTTAGTTCAACCTGGCACAGTTCCACAGAGCCACTGTGTAGGACGTTCACAGGTTATACATCGATTTAGTTCAACCTGGAACAGTTCTACAGAGCCACTGTGTAGGACTTTCACAGGCTATACGGAGATGGTAGGATGATTCTACTCGACCACTTTAAATGAGCATGCTGTAACAGGTCCACCTTCATGTAACTTGTCATCTGTTTCCTGTAAATTCCTGTGAAAAGATTAGACTAACTGATCGCAGCGCCCTGACAAAAATACAGTTGGTTACATGAGTTCACACTTCAGTCGCTAACCAAAAGAGAAAGAACAACGTTTATGTGTTGTTAATGTTGATGACAATTACGATTACTGCAGCCATGGTGCATTATATAAGTGGAATATTGCTCCCTGCAGCGTAAAACATTAACCAACACAGACACATGAAGATCTTTTAAAAATCCACACTGTAATAAATAGATAATTAGAACAATCACAGTTACATTTGCCTTTGAGTATATTCATTATATAAGGTAGGCTAGGTCTGAGTCAGTCATTGAATGAATAAGTATAAAGTATATCAATCTTGTTGACTGAATGCCTGTCAGACTCTATCACTGGGTTGTCTGGTCAAGACTCCATTGTTTACAGACTGCCGTTGTATGGCACGGTTATTGCTGTGCTGCGTCGGGCACATTTTCTTTTTCATGCAGATTGTGTGAGTGGTGGGTGCTTCCGGTAGTGCAGGAATCCTTTTCGTGAACGCCTTGTGTCGGCGATCCATTTAGACACATGTCATCACTATTTTGCCGTTTACGACCAAAGGGATTAGTTATTCTCTGGCGTTGACGTTTAATATTTACATTGAGACAACTGCAGGGTTTTGGTTGTGACTGGAACTGAGCTCCAGTGTGTTGAGCAATGTCCGCAAATCAGCAAGTGGCAAGAATCAGCCCTTTTACTACACCTCTTTCACCAAATTAGAGCACACAAAACATATTTAGTTACCTTATTTGAGGCTATTCTGGATCTGTAACTGACATATATGATGACGAGTGAGTGACTGAGTGAGATAGTGGCTTGGCGGCTTGGTGAGTTGGTGGGCCTAGGATATAAGTGGATGTCTGTGCGAGTGAGTGAGGACTAAACACCTTTAGTATATGTCAGTTGTGTTTCAGCTTTATATGGGAATCATGTCTAAATGACTGATATCCCAGACGTAACCAGTGTTGAAACCGTACATACTGACGCAGATCAACTACAAAACAAGTCTTTTCTCTTTGGAATCCTGGTCTTGACATTTAGAGAACGTAATCCACACTGGTCCTCGTTATCGATTCCATGTCTTAGAACGATAAACAATACAACGATTTTCAGGGCGTTTCGATTGAGCCTTGTATTATATGGATTTTTCAACACCAACCAGGCCGAACTAATATGTGTGTTTAAAGCACATGTGTTGAATGTCTGTAAACTGTAAACTGTCTGGTTTTTATACATCTATAATATGATATGAGATGTTGACAAATGGTAACAGGGAATTAATGGTAAAAGGGGTCCGACGATAATATCGGACCAATGTCGACCTGCGTATATCCCTTACGCCTGTAGACTCGTCTTCTGATACATTGCAACCTTCATGACGGCCATATGTATCCACTTCATAGACATCAAACAGATCCCCATGTACACCATATACACCGATAACCGGTACTACCGCGTCTACCTGGACACTGTAACCTTCACGTTGGCACCCGTGTATTGCCCAAAAGACAAATAACCTGTACTCCCGTCTCCATGTCGGCAATTACGGCGGTATACATCATATCCCTGAAATGTCCAAAATCAAAGTGCAGCTCTGGTGCTGAAATTCAGGCAAAGGTTTGAAGACTCCCCATTTACACGCATCTGCGTAATGAAGCTGGAATGAATTTCCTGTAGTAAGGGTTTACATTTGTGGATTTGGCCATATTTCATTTTGATTGTTATTAGATACTTGCATTTGAAACATGTCTCTAAATTTTCCCACTTTGCTTTCAGGGCTCCATAAATATCCTCGTCTCCATACCTGCTTTCCTGATGAATTAGGCAGACATGTTTTGTGTAATGATACCAGCGGATACATTGTTTTGAGTTTCGTGTTGCATTAAACGAGACAAATTCAGTTTGCACACTACGTCTTGATATACACTATTTCCAATATTCGACCACTGAAGAGTTAGATACTCGATTTGACGAAAAACCAACAACATTTTATACCATACACATTTTAATCAATTATAAAAGCAAATGCAAGCAATATATTTTAGGACGTACAGATGTAAAGGCAATTTTACATTTTCTTGCTCATGAATATCGTCTTATATTTGCCTTAGTTTATGTCTAGATTAAACATGAATACAATTCGTTATCTGCATATAGATTCACTGAATGACACAAATGAAAATAACATCATTCCGCATGTCAAGTAAATATTAAGTACAAGGACACCAAAGTTGCCGATATCATCCCACCCTTTTAAATACTTAACGTAAATCAATCCAATCTATGTGTGGTTAGTCCTGAAGCTTGGGTTTGTTGTTAAAAACCGCATTCAACAATATTCCAGCTATATGATGGCTGTCTGAAAATAATCGAGACCAGACAATACTGTGATTGACATCATGAGAATCGATCCAATTGGGATACGGTGACATGCATCAACCAAGTCAGCGAGCCTGACGACATGATCCCTATAATCGCCTGATTTGAAGGTTGCTGAAGAACTATTCTAACCCAGGGCCTAGATTTTCGAAATGATCGTAGCCCTAAAATGATCGTAAATTTATCGTAAGGAAATTGTAGGCTATCATATCATATTTTCGAAACTATCGTAGCCCTAAGATATCTTAAGATTGCCGTAAATCTAAGATAGCCCCATACCTGTCAGGATAATTCCCACCGCTATGTACTGTCCATGACCACCATAGGTCTTTACAGAGACATTTTCCTTCAGTGTACCATATGTCAGAAAACAGAATGTTGAAATGGTTGTCAGAGTGCGAGCAATAGCATATACAGTCAAGGAAACAAACAAGTAGTATGGTATGGTATGGTATCAAAATATACAGAAGAAGACTTTTTCGAAAGATTCGAAGCTAAAACATCATCCAATGCACAAAAACAAAAATGTAAATGACACAAGAAAAAAACAACAGTGCCACGGCACTGTAGCTCACCTAGGGTTTTTTCGAAGGAAGTACCATGAGGGACTTCCCAAGTAGCATAAGGGACTTACCAAGTAGCATATGTCTTCCCTAGTAACATGAGGGACTACCCTAGTAACATCAAGGACTTCTCTAGTAACATGAGGGACTACCCTAGTAACATCAAGGACTTCTCTAGTAACATGAGGGACTACCCTAGTAACATCAAGGACTTCTCTAGTAACATGAGGGACTACCCTAGTAACATCAAGGACTTCTCTAGTAACATGAGGGACTACCCTAGTAACATCAAGGACTTCTCTAGTAACATGAGGGACTACCCTAGTAACATCAAGGACTTCTCTAGTAACATGAGGGACTACCCTAGTAACATCAAGGACTTCTCTAGTAACATGAGGGACTACCCTAGTAACATCAAGGACTTCTCTAGTAACATGAGGGACTACCCTAGTAACATCAAGGACTTCTCTAGTAACATGAGGGACTACCCTAGTAACATCAAGGACTTCTCTAGTAACATGAGGGACTTCCCAAGTAACATCAGGGACTTCCCTAGTACTATGAGGGGACACTGTGGGTCTTCCCTAGTAACACGAGGGACTTCCTTTGTACTATGAGGGGACACTGTGGGTCTTCCCTAGTAACCCGAGGGACCTCCCTTGTACTATGAGGGGACACTGTGGGTCTTCCCTAGTACTATGAGGGGACACTGTGGGTCTTCCCTAGTAACACGAGGGACTTCCTTTGTACTATGAGGGGACACTGTGGGTCTTCCCTAGTAACCCGAGGGACCTCCCTTGTACTATGAGGGGACACTGTGGGTCTTCCCTAGTAACACGAGGGACTTCCCTTGTACTATGAGGGGACACTGTGGGTCTTCCCTAGTAACCCGAGGGACCTCCCTTGTACTATGAGGGGACACTGTGGGTCTTCCCTAGTAACACGAGGGACATCCTTTGTACTATGAGGGGACTTCCGAAGTTAAATGAGTGACTTCCCAAGTAACACCAGGGACTTCCCTAGTCATATCAGGGACTTCCGAAGTAAAATGAGGGACTTCCAAAGCAACATGAGGGACTTACAAGTAGCCTGTTTGTCTTCCACAGTGACATGAGGGACTTTCCTGTTACCATGAGGGTCTTCCTTATTAACACGAGGGACTTCCCTCGTAACCTGAGGGACTTTCCGAGTAACAAGGACAACAGTTTGATGTTAATATGTGATTGTACTTTGTAAAAGTAACAGGAGTGGCTTAGTTGTAACAGCATACACAAGTAGACAAAAATGCAACTCATGTTTAATAATTTTCTGCTGAACCCTCACTTCCTAACCACCCCTCCAAAACACATAGTTTGGGTTAAACAGCTGTCATCATTGGTTACGAACAAGCATGTGCTGTTTTAGCTTCATTGGTCAAGTGGTTTTGGAAAAAAATATATTTACAGACGCCACCAATGTCGGACAACTTGACCATGAACTAACTCACTTGACTTTCAGTTATGTGAGCTAACAAAGTGATTAGTTTGAGAAACAATATGTCATATTCATCAAAACAAATACATACATCTCAGCAAATTAAAATTGAAAAAAATACAAACAAATATACAATCAATTATACATTGGCTTCAATGCATCTGCAAGGGGCAATCTGTATGATTTAGGCTGCTATAGTGAGCTTGTACAGTACTACTTATGTCCTTGACAGTCTGTATCATGTTATATGTAGGGTAATGGCCAGGCATCGGTTTTTCAAAACACTATCGCAATACTATGCATCAGAGTGGTCCTGTCAGTGTCTGTTTTGAGTTGTGTGTTTACTGATTGTCAACTGGCACTTCAGTCAGTATTTTGTGAATACCATCCTGGACATTAATGTCAGATGTTGAGTTTCATTGGAAAATGAATAAGGAATGGCAGCGGGTGCTAAATCCTATTTGTTGGAAAATGTTCTTAATGAGATTGAATACTGGAATTTTTAAAGACTTTCACAGTATATGGATACGTTTCTCGATAAGCATATTTTTGTCTGAATTACATATTAAACAACAATCAGTCCAACGATAACAACAACCTCTGATTGAAACCAACCATCTAAACGCTTCACCACAGTGGAAGCTTACATAATGTTGTGCTAGAATATTCAAAATATCTATGGCAGTTCATTTTGGACAAAATGAAACACATGCTTGTATTACAAAGTTTAGGGACACCAAACAGCCCATTTTTCTGCACCTCTTGTCTTCACTAACACCAAAGATGTTACATCATGTTGTCATGCTAGAATATATCAAATATTCTGTTTTGAAATGCCTATATGAATATATAGCTCTGCTTTAAAAGCACAGTATGTTTACCACCAAAATATTGTTTCAAGCACCAAACTGACTCACTCTAGAGGTGTCTTATATTTTCTTGTTTGGTATCAAAGTCTGTATTCAGAAAGCCTGCAGTGTACAACACAGTGGAAACATATACAGCAATGAGATGAACATAACATGAAACCAGGTGCCGACATCACTTGATCCCAGTTGTAGTGAACCCATTATAATAATCAAACCCCCCAAAAGATACATTAAAATCTTCAAAAGAAGGAAAGTATGAAATGAAATGTACATAAAAAATACTAGCATTGATTACGTAACTTCAACTCAAAGAATGAGTGAGTATGGTTTCGCATCATTTCAGCAATATTACAGTAATAACACGACAGGGGACACCAGAAAATTGTTTCACATATTGTAACCATGTGGGGAATTGAACCCGGTCCTTGGAGTCAATCTGTTATAACCACGAGCCTACCCCACTAATCTGAACGGTGAAAAAAAGTCCACATTTACATTTAAAATAGAACCAACTACGTGAAAAACATGTAGTCAAAAACATATTTCGATTGATGGAGTCTAAACTCCAGAAATCAAATGTACTTAAATATAGGCATTTGAGGTTTCTGATCAACATTAGTCTGACCAATTTTCTAAATTGTCTTAACATATGATACAATTAACTTTAAACAAATTTCAACTTATCATAGTTATACAAATTGTCTTAAAATAACTGATATTTCTGGAATTGTCATGTTATTTCAATCATTAGAATGGAATCTATCATTACATTGAATCAGGCTTCTCTGAAGATGCGGGTTGAGGACTTGATGCCTGGCTGGAACACTGTTGTTCTTGAGCAGGTTCATGTTCGTCAATGTTTGACACTTGGATATCTGCAACCTGGACTGGTTGTTGGTTCCCTGGTTCGGGATGAACGGTAATGACGGCTTGGCCCACCACTTCATAATCATCACCAGGACTACTGGAATTGGAAGCCCGTCTTGGACCAGGAAGGTTGCCTTGAACCTCAGAGTCATCTATATCTGCATAGACATGGTAACCGTCATACCATACTCTTCCAGCTGAAGCTAATAGATCTCGTATAGGGGAGATGTAGGAAGAGGCAGCCCTGATGACAAAGAGACATTTTGATGTTCATTCTACATGTATGTTAATAACAAAATAGAAGTAGTTATCGTTTGCATAAATGTGACATTAGGAATGTTGATGCATTGGATATGAAACATTAAAAAGTTAAGTACTATAACTTTTGACATTGCCTGTTAGCAATCTGCAACCCTTACAGCTCTGTTGCAGTAATAAAAAGACTCACTCTACTGTTTCATAATGTTACATCTTGATAACAATAGATCATTTCTTTTTACCACAAAATGGTGAATAACAATGATTTCAACATTCAAACACCAACCATATCTCAGATCTTCAATTCAGTAAGCTCATTAATTATTGACACATGTGCACACCTTTTTGAATACATGCCTCGAAATATGAATGGTTTTTTTTCCCTTGAATCACATTTTGCGGATTAATCACAGTGATAAGTATTAGTAAACACAGCAGGTCCACTGTTATGGTGTCTTGTATGCAGCAAGGGTGATAAGCTATTTTTTTAATGATACTTTATATGCATATGTTTGAAAGTGCTCACCTCCTTTCATGGGATTCTGTAAAATAATGAAAGATAGGTTGTCATTAGCAGGACCTGTAATTAAATACACTCACTACAAGTCACATCAGTTGCTTATCTTAACATGTTAGATAGGCATGCAAAATAAGCATCGTGAACTATCCCTTTCATTTCATAAATATATCATACAAGGAATGAATATTAAGTGTTTGGTCTACAAGAGTGTTCTGACATGGGAACCATCAGAGTGTTGTACTAAATACATGCATGATGTCAGGAAATGTTAACACTCACTTTTCAGTTGTCTGAATGCCACAAAAGCCACAGTGATGAAGGCTGCAGTAATAAAAAGTGTAACGGAGCTCGTGATGGCGATGATTGTGGTGGTCATAGTTGTACCTATATGTACAGAAAACAGAAGTGGATAACATTGTAATTAGCAGGATGGCTTTCATAAAAGTATTTGAAACTAAGTGGTCATACAGGTGGTCGTTCATATTCACAGTTAACATTGGGATAACAGTTGAGTGTTGTGACAAATTGTCGTAAGTTGGTCAAGGCTGAGACAAGCAATCAATCATCATACACTTGTAATGTACACATGTGAATCAATAATGCAGCAACATCACCATAATTAGTACAAACTTTGAACAAAAACTTTGATTATTAATTGTGCTGAGGTTTACTGGATGCAACACTTTGCATCCTATATGCATACACATTGAGAATGGATGCAATTAATTTACATTGTTAGTCGTGTGGGACAGAGAAAGTATGACTGTTTGAAAAATAAAATGTATCAAAGTTGTAGATTGCATGTCACATATGTGTATAACTGACATTTATGTTCTAATGAGTGATACACTCAAAGCCTTTCGAGCATGTGTAACGATAGGTGTGGTGACATCATTAAACTTATTGGACATCAAATGCCACTTGAGGCCAGAACAGACCCCCATGTTCATGCCTTGGAGACCCAAAATGTATTACGTAGAGTTCCCAGGACACGAATATAGACAGACCAAGGTGAATCCATGATTGAGGAAATGTATACATGTATTTCTGTTTATAATAATGACAAATGTAGAATACTATATATGACTAAAGTGTGTTACAATGTGTAATTATTAAACTAGGTTATATTTGATAATTCCTTACATCCTCAATCCTACATACGGCATACCTGCAGTAGACAGGGTTAATACCGGCCCTAACAATGGGTATGCTGTCGAACAGGCATCCAGGTCAAACGGCATTACACAGTAGGTCCATGGTAGTCTCAAATTTTAGTATTAGTCATTGATAGATGCCAGTGTTGCAAATATGTACGTAATTTAGTTGCATCTTTAAACAAGCATAACATACTGAAGTCATATTGGGGAAGTTCTCATATGAGGATTTCAATTTGTGAGCTGACCTTGGTCAAAAAGTTGAACAAAGAGCTCCAGTGTTCCCTTCTCATTGACGACAGAGAGTCTATAGGTTCCAAGGTCCCTCGTTTGCATTCTTGAGATGGAAAACGTAAACGTATAGAAACGTTTACCCTTGTGCATGGATAGAGTGTGTCGGGGGCTGTCCGACGTATCTATAACATTGATGCCTTTGTCCAAGTATTCCATAATATGATTTACTGGTCCCGGGTAACTGCAGACAAGAAATGTCCCCGAAACACTTTTACTGTCGTAGCTCATTTCAACATATTTGTCGGAGGAATCACACCTTCTTGGTTGTGCTGAAATTCACAAAGTACATGTATATTATCAAGGTAGCAAGCATAAGTTTACTGTGCAAGGTTCTCATACATACAGGTCAACCAGAAATGATCAATATTACCATAATAGCTTAGCTCTCTAACTACATCGTGGTTGTGATAGTTTTGAATACATATTTTTCAACAATTTCATATTGACAGTAGTAACGGGGCAAACAAATTTATTTTGTAAGTGATCTTGTATTTTCTCTTAGCAAATATGCTAAACAAGGTTAATAAATATGTCAAATATAAACAAATAAAGCTCAAAATGCAAAATTAATTGTAGAACTATAATAGAAGTTCTGATTAAACCTTCATAAATTTACCAACATTGCAGCCATCATGAAATATTCATCAAATCGTTCACAATCAATTACGTGTCATTAAGGGCATTATAGTTATTTCCGAGTCTAATCTAACATATATATCTCAAGCAGAAACTATATGCTTTTCCTTACATATAACATTGTAGATGGTGACAGTTTCCTTCCCTGTGGTCTCACCGACTACATTGCGAGCTACACACACATACGTCCCAGTGTGAGTACAGTTGATGTCCTTGATGACCACGTCATGTATGCTGTTGGTTTCTTTCTGCTGAACACATATGGATGATGGTGGCGGTATGCTGTGTACGTCACACTGGAAACTCACAGTTTCATGTTCATTCACAATGACATTTCTTGTTCCATTCACTGTTATGCCGGTAAAGAGTGGTCGATCTGTAATAATAGAATAGGCCTGGAGTTACGGATTCATTATTTATTTAGCTGCTTGTATTATTTTGTGTAATACCGCAGTCAGGAAATTCCACTTATTTATATATTAACCAGCCTTTGAATAATCCAGTTAGGGCCAGACAAGCCAGTGACTGATATTATGAGCATTGCCCAACAATGTCAGGCTACAATGACACTCAATCAACCAAGTCACAAAATCTGAAAACCTTATGCAATTTAGTCAAGCAATAGAGTGTTAGGGACTCATTTTGACACAGGACCCATAGGGTATATTTACAAGTAGTATTCAAAATATCAATGCTTGTATCTTTAAAATTACCGCTAAAATTACATGAATGTGGCTATTCATGACATTAGAATGCTTTTCCTGACACATTTGATTCAAGCAGGAAACCAAAACGTGCCTTGTCTTTATCCAGGGAGCCCATTGTCTTGAAGTAGTAGTAGTAGTAGTAATAGTTATTGTAGTAGTAGTAATAGTTATTAATGTAGTAGTAGTAGTAGTAGTAGTAGTACAACTACTAGAAGTAGTAGTGGTAGTAGTAGCAGCAGTAGTAGTAGTAGTGGTGGTGGCGAAAGTTCTATTTCTGTCCTAACAACATTTTTATTCAATGTTTATTTTATTTTCCCCCACGATTTCCTCATTATATACACATAGTGAGTGAGTGAGTATAGGTTTACCCTGGTTTTAGCAATATTCCAGCAATATCACGGTGGGGGACACCAGAAATGAGCTTCACACATTGTACCCATGTCGGGAATCGAACCCGGGTCTTCGGCGTGACGAGCGAACGCTTTTAACCACTAGGCTACCCGACCACCCTTTATACACATAGAAATTAGTTAAGCACCACCCGTATATTCTCAGACCGAGCAACTTTAATGAACTAGTGCATGACATGTGTAAAGGATTTCTATACCAAATATATTATTTAGAGTAAAGAAAGGGTTGAGGAGAAATTAGCTAAGATTACCATGAAATAATGTGCTCTTTTTGGAGATGTTACAGATTTGGAAAATGACTTAAATTTTATCCCCCAAAATACGAATGTCACGTTTGTTGCACATACTTAACTGCGCGTACAATGCCCACTTCTGATTCACGGAATTGAAGAACAATGTCCTGCAAGTGCAAATATTGACTTTCCATCAGTATCTTGTGTAACCTCCCTGAACCCAAGCAACTGCTTCAAGACGCCTCCTCATTCTTTGGATCAATCTCTGGATTTGATTCTGAGGAATTCTGTTCCATTCCTCAGCAGCAGTCAATTCATAGAGCTTATGGACAGGTGGGTCTCTTTGTCGAACCTGACGGCCTAAAATGTCCCACAGATGCTCAATGGGACTGAAAGCTGGTCTCATGGCTGGCAATGGAATGGTCTCAACAGCATCCTGTTGCAAGATCTGAGTGACATCACGTGCTCTGTGAGGCCTGGCATTGTCATCCATGAAGATGGGTCTTGTGGCTAGAGGATGATGATCAAAATAGGGGACGACAGCTCTCTCAAGGATCTCCTGTTGCTAACGAGGCCTATTAAGGTTACCACAAATTACCACCGAATGGTGATGAGGTCCATTTTGCAACCCAAGGAAATGCATCTCCATACCATGACTGACCCAAAGGGAACAGTCTCCTGGATATTGCAGGGAACCACGGCTGTGCTCCTTTGTCTCCAGACACGTCTACGACCATCCACACCACATAAGGACCGACTCTCAGCTGAAGTCGATTTCTGACTGTCTTGAAGGAAGGGGCTCTCCCCGGTAAACACTGTTGCTTCAAAGATTTGCTTGAGTCCCACGGACAGCGCTCTATCCTCTCTTCTTGTTGTCTTAAGGGGTCTGCAAGGTCTTGGAAGATCTTTCACATTACTGGTAGCCATGTGTGTGTTAAAGAGTTTTGAAATGATGGAAGGATTGCGCCTAAGTTGACGTCCAATTTGTGTGAGATACATTCCTGCATTTCTCATGCTAATAATTGGCCACCATGTAGCCTCTGACAATTTACGACGTGCCATGACAATTAGGGTACTGAATACGCAAAACAATTTGAAAGGAGAGAGTGTGATTCCATGATTCCAAACAATGTTGTCGGTTTGTCATTGCACGTCGTGGCACTTGCATTACATGTCTCCACACAAAGTCAAGCTATACAGCAAAATGCAATATGTCACAATGATCAATCAGTAAAATGCTGTTTTCTTAATTCACAGAATTATAGGTCTATGAATTAGGTGTTGCTTGATTAATTTCCATGTGTTCCATGCATATAAATAGAAAAGAGAGAAACTAGTAATACAGATATTTTATACAGTAATCTGTCCTTGATCACTTAATGCCTTCTCCTTGGCAATAGCTTAACACCCAGAACATGTTGTGCAGGATAAGGAATCAGATCTCATGAATATCCAGATTCATGTAAATTATTTCTTATCCAGCAACAACATATTGTAATCCTTATCCCTCAGTTGGAGGCGGGGTGTGCAGCTCGTGCTTGTGATATGCACTGCTATGCTCCATGGTTGGAGAACCTGTACTGCTTCCGATATGTGATGCCCGAAGGATAGGAAGTTCAAATAGTAGCAAATAGCAACAATAATCCCACAGACTATTTATTGTGTCATTAAATGATAGTTGAAATATCTTGCAAACACTCACCAGTAGCGGGTAATGCGGATTGGAAGTTCAAGTCCAAGTAGCGAATAGCAACAAGACCCAACAATCAGAATATGTATTGTGACACTATTTATTGTGTTAAAGAACAGCCTCTTCATCTGATTCCTGGTAGACCGTATCACTTCCGTCTCCAAGCACAAACTGGACATAATGATAAATCAACAATGTCGTCATGCCCCAGTACTAATGACACCAGCGATATCAAGAAACTTTGATCTACCTCACTTTTTGGGTGACAAAATCACATGAGGACCATGTGAACTTTGGCATTTGCTGTTACCAATGCGATGTGTCAAAAACTCTATGCTTTGTCGGGGTGTATAGATGTGATATCAGATGCTGGAGTAATAGTCTCACTTCCCTGGACGAGGTTTGAAGCACTTCTTCTGATATATACTCTTCAAAAAAAGAAACTTGACATAGATGTAAAACCACTTTTTGCAAATATCTAAAATAATTATATTAAATGAGAACCAAATAAGTCAGAACAACGCCATTGGGAGATTACAAGCTGGAGCAACTCAGCAAAAAGTGGCCAGGCACTTTGGCGTATCCAGACAGACAATCTCCGCACTCTGGACCAGATACAACAACACCAACAGAGTTGACGACAGACCAAGGTCAGGAAGACCAAGGGTGACAACCCAAGCACAAGATCGATACATCCGGCTGCGACACCTCCGAGACCGCACTACCACAGCCACGTCTAAAACCACACAGATCCCTGGGGTACGCAGAATATCAGATCAAACGGTACGCAACAGACTGAGGGAGGCTGGACAAAGACCTGTTCGACGTCATGTATTGATCCCATGTCATCTGGCGGACCGTCTGCTTTGGTGCCAACAGAGGGTTAGATCAGCGCGTGCAAGGTGGAGAAATGTACTGTTTACTGACAAGTCCCGTTTCCTACTTACACGTGCTCATGGGTGCGCACGTGTCTACAGACATCGGGGTGAATGTTACGCCCCAACCTGTGTGCAGCAGGTTGTCCCATTTGGCGGCGGGAGTGTCATGGTATGTGCCGGAATTCATCACGGTGGTAGGACGCCTCTCGTGCATGTGGCAGGTGCATTGACAGGTGTGCGTTACAGAGACTTGATCCTACAGCCTTACGTTCTTCCTCACGTCAACGGCGGACAGTTCCAGCAGGACAACGCTCGACCGCATATTACACATGTTTGTCAGGACTTCTTGCAGTGCAACAACATCCAGACATTACCTTGGCCAGCCCGGTCACCAGATTTGTCCCCGATTGAGCATCTGTGGGACAAGTTGGATCGATGCGTTCGCAGAAGGAATCCACCGCCCCAAACACTTCCGTCGCTTCTTGATGCACTTCAGCATGAATGGCAGCACATCCAACAGCGTGTTATTGACAACTTGATAGCATCTATGGGTCGTTGGTGTCAAGCGGTGATTGATGCACGTGGTGGGCACAACCGATACTGACATTTTCTGTACCCCTGTGACATTAACTGTATCGTGTACGTGTGTCTGTCTAGGTGACACGATTAATGTTTTGAACATTGTGTACATTGATCTTCAAACAGTGTTTCAATTATGGTTTCTGTGTCCTATTTTGAAACAATCTTGACTGATCTTGTGTCAAAAGTGCTGATCTTTCTGGACCTTTTGGTACCATCCCATAATTTCTTGGCTGTTCATTAAAGTAGCAAGCTAACATGGGATCCATCCTCCTTCTCTTGTTACCATAGACCATGAAATAATCCCACTTAGTGTCATAAAGCATCACAGAGCACAATGACATTTTGGGCGCTGAAGTGCTCATCATAGTCATGGAGGGTGAATGTGCCTGTCCAGGCAGGAAACAACACTGGTCAGCAATGTCATTGTGGTCATTGTTCCCATGGCCAAAGCAGTCAGGGTTGATGTTTGATGATTGTGGAGGATGTAACATCGGCTACTATCTCTCTGCTCGGTATTTCCCTCTGGCCCTGTTGGGCCTTCTCTTCCAGATACATTTTAGATAGGAATCAACCTGTTCTGAATATAAAATATTACACTCTGCACGCTGAAGATCTAACCTGCAGTCAGGCAGTCAATGTGACAAGAAAGACATATCGCTGAACTGAAAGTGGAACAATGAACGTAACACTTATCCTGTCACAACAAATTGCAATTTCCTTCTTTGTAATGTCCTATGCTGCTACCTATATGTAGGTGTATATATATAGTTAGTTCTCCTTCTATCCCCGGTGTAATTGTCCGTTATATGTATTATCCCGAAATGGAAGGAGAACTAACTCTGTTGACAGACACTTCACAGCTTCTTGTTTCCTATACAAGTTACGTCACATTTCGCATACCAACATGAGCAATGCAAAACACTTTGAAACAGATTGTCCTTTGCTTATATATATCCTAACAACAAAGTTATAACCACCTGCAGTTTAATAACACCACGTCCTATTTGGGAAAGCATGTCAAATGCAGTACAACTTTGAAACAGAAAGTCTTTTGCCGGTAGCTATCTTAATAACAAAGTTAACACACTTCAGGCTCACTGACATTGCCCTTCAATCTCAGCCACAAACTGCTGAGAGATCATGTATATAGTTTTAAAAATAAAATTTCAATGTAAAAAATCGTCTGGAAATGTTGTAACAAGCTGATTGGATACAAATTAAAAATAGTATATTGCCTGATTAGAACTTTAAAGGCAGATGGGAAGTAATATCCTTGATCTCTGTTGGTCAAAGGTTTGTGACGGCATGTTTCATAACTTGAACTCGTGACCTTGAACTTATATGGAGGTCATCCAAAAGTTACGATTAAGATCCCGCCTTTCAGATGTACCGATAGTTTCTTGAAATTGCAACCATAAAGACTAATTCTACCATGAATTAGGAATTTACTTGATTCCGATTGGTCAATCAGAGGCTATAAAATCACAATAAACCCCCTCTGATTGAAACAGCTGGTTTGACGGCCGCATCACCGCGGAAGCTGATATTCATAGAATAGTACTATTTTCAGTCGTTGTCAGAAGGCAGACGAGGGTTGTTCATTAAAGATTTCCCTGACCCACTTTCGATGGACCTAGTGGAATGAAACTTGGCATAGGTATTAGTCTTTCTCCACATAGGAACTACCAAGAGTTACACACTTCTCACATCGTTTTATGCAACTATGGAAACCTCGCTTGTAAAAGCCCTCATTTTGCGTCTCAAACCAGGACTTGACTTCAGAAATCAGTGTTTCATCATCTGGGAAACGTTTTCCCTTCAAAAATGACTTCATGGTTGGAAAGAGGTGGAAGTCAGATGGTGCAAGGTCAGGAGAGTAAGGAGGATGTGGAAGGATTTCATAGCCACAGGACTGCGCTTCTGTCTGGGCAACATGAGAGTTGTGTACTGGAGCATTGTCTTGCAGGAGACGGACACCCTTGGTCAGCATGCCACGCCTCTTAAGCTTGATAGCGTCCCGCAATTTCCGCAGCAGTGAAGGTACCCTTTGCAAAGAAATCCATCATCACTACTCCGTGCTGGTCCCAAAACACTTTGACTTTGCCTGCAGAGGGTTGGACACATGCCTTCTTTGGGGGTGGTGACTCCACATGCTTCCATTGCATCGACTGAACTTTAGTCTCAGGATCATTGTTTCATCCTGTGTGATAAGCCTGTTTTTTTGGCACATGTCCAAAAGATCCTTTGAGCAATTGACTCGTTCCTGCTTTTGGAAAGATATGAGCAACCTGGGAATCCATCGTGCAGACATCTTATGCATGTTCAAATTGTCATGGATGATTTTTTCAACAGACCCTACACTGATCTTGACATCTTGTGCTAACTGGCGAACAGTTATACGTCGGTCTGCCAAAGTGGCGGTCTCCACTTGATGGATAGTATCCTCATCAATGGCTGAATGGGGGAGATCAGGAATGGCAGCTGTTTCCACAGATGTCCGACCACACTTGAACTGGCGATGCCAGTGTTTAACAACGTCATATGATGGGGCATCTTCACCATAAGTTGCTTTCATTTCATCGAAAGTTTCTTTTGGTGTGCGACCTTTCAAGTATAAAAACCTAATCACTGCTCGGTATTCTACTGGCTCCATTGTCACACCCTACTTGATCATAACACCTGTAAAAGCGGTAAGATTAATAGTTGGGTGCTGCAAATTCAGACATAACCCATAGATACATGTATCATTACACATGTGAAATTTCAACCAAATATGA